ATTCGTTATTGCAAGAGACTGGAGATCTGTAAAAAGAATCACTTCACCTGCCCTCTTAAAACCGCTAAAAACCGCCCAGCAACGGTTAGAGCTTATGGGTGAGCAATTATTAACGAATCCTACTACAGGAACATGGTCAGAAGCACTTCAAATAGCTGAGATAGCTAATGACCATGGATTTCCAACTGATTCCATTATTTGGAAGTGTGTTTCACGTAGTTTGGGAGGTCCGAGGTTGCAAGCACGACATTCCATGTTTGGAGGGAAAGAAGAAGTTGTTTCCGCGTTGAGGATTCAATCTTCTCTGTTTTCTCCTGCAGATACTCCGATTTCTGCCATTTTCAACTTGTTGTTCAAGTTCAGAATGGGTGATAGAAGAGGAGCTGTCGAAGTTTTCAAGAGTCTCTCCAACAAAAGCGAGTTCACAATAGTGGCAAGCATTTGTTCGGCGTTGCTTCTGTGATAGAAACTGTAATTTTAACCGTTGAGTCTTCAGAAATCTTTGAAGGAGCTGCAATTTGGAAAATTGTTTTCACTTTAGGAGAATATAATTTTCTCTCAAAATATACAAAAATAATATACTTTAAAACCATCGTGACAAAATTCAAAAACGAAGAGTTCTTCTCTCCAAATTTTTTTCAAAATCAAAAAAATGAGATAAAAAAGTACGTTTGGAAAATTCATTTTTAGCATTTTAGGAATTTTCTCACTTTTCTTCCAAATTGACATCCTTAATTAAATTAAATTACACATTAACACCGGAGCCGGAATCATCTTGGATATCAGATGATGATTTATCTTTAGATGGTTTCCTGCAGAAAACGAAGTAGATGATGAGAATAATAAGAATAACAGCAAGAAGAACGCCAATAACAATACCAGCCTTCTGTCCACCAGTAAGTCCACTATTTTCAGGTGTTGGTGTTGGCTTGGAATCATCAGGGCTTGGTGCAACGTATTGTTGTTTCTGAAGTGAAACCTCCGTTTCAATGACATTGGATCCAGCTAACCTAATTTGAAGTTTAACTTTTCCATCTTCTTTGATATCTTCATACTTTGGAGCTGGAATGTTGAGTAGATATGTTTTGCCTTCGTCGGCATGTAATTTCTTAATTGCAGATGGGGTTTCTACTTCAGTTACATTGTCGTCTGGGAGATCTATCCATTTCTGATCTGCATAGAATCTATATTGGAAGCTTCCTGTCTTTGCCTCAAAGTGTTAATGTAACTTTAACTGGAATATATTCACCGGCCTTGAATGGTTGTGTATGATTTTCAGCAACAACAGTTGCCGCAGATAAATATGGAGACTTTCCAAGAGAATATGTAACATTACCGGTACCTAAGTTGGATTTATGATCGGCGTCGGTCTCAACAACAACAAGTAACTTTGTCTTATTATGATCCTTTGTAGCGTTAACTTTGAAAGTCCATTCTTTCTTGTTCCCGCTTGCTACGGCTGTTGCATTGAGAACATTTTGTGATATTGCGACGCTAGTGGCAGAGGCGTTGGAAGCTTCGCTTTCTGTTGCAAAGAGATAATATGTCTTTGTAATATTTAAGCCTGTTTCGAGTATGATTTTGGCTGTGTATGGATTGCCTGAAATTACTTCGTTGCCTTCGTTGTATTGAACACTCTCGATAACTGGTGTGGGACTGTGGAAGAATATGTAACATTACCGGTACCTAAGTTGGATTTATGATCGGCGTCGGTCTCAACAACAACAAGTAACTTTGTCTTATTATGATCCTTTGTAGCGTTAACTTTGAAAGTCCATTCTTTCTTGTTCCCGCTTGCTACGGCTGTTGCATTGAGAACATTTTGTGATATTGCGACGCTAGTGGCAGAGGCGTTGGAAGCTTCGCTTTCTGTTGCAAAGAGATAATATGTCTTTGTAATATTTAAGCCTGTTTCGAGTATGATTTTGGCTGTGTATGGATTGCCTGAAATTACTTCGTTGCCATCGTTGTATTGAACACTCTCGATAACTGGTGTGGGGACTGTGGAAGAATATGTAACATTACCGGTACCTAAGTTGGATTTATGATTGGCGTCGCTCAACAACAACAAGTAACTTTGTCTTATTATGATCCTCTGGAGCGTTAACTTTGAAAGTCCATTCTTTCTTGTTCCCGCTTGCTACGGCTGTTGCATTGAGAACATTTTGTGATATTGCGACGCTAGTGGCAGAGGCGTTGGAAGCTTCGCTTTCTGTTGCAAAGAGATAATATGTCTTTGTAATATTTAAGCCTGTTTCGAGTATGATTTTGGCTGTGTATGGATTGCCTGAAATTACTTCGTTGCCTTCGTTGTATTGAACACTCTCGATAACTGGTGTGGGGACTGTGGAAGAATATGTAACATTACCGGTACCTAAGTTGGATTTATGATTGGCGGCGAACTCAACAACAACAAGTAACTTTGTCTTATTATGATCCTCTGGAGCGTTAACTTTGAAAGTCCATTCTACTTGTTCGTATTTATATCCAGTGAAGATAGAATAGAAGTTTGGAGATGGTGTATAGAACTTTATACCTCGAACTGAAAAATCTTCTAACTTTGACAATAAGATATCCCAAGCATCTAACATCTTCCTTCCAACTTGTACAACTTTTATTTTCTTAAGTTTCTGTCTACATTCTTGTTCAGACACTATTGTTGCTCTTGGTTTGTTAAAGACAACATCCCATTCTTTCATGACATAACATTCTGGGGCAGAGTCAACATAAATGACTAAACGTTTCAAATTCTCGACTGCTTTGTTATAGTCTCGAAATGGACACATATTTCTGAATGCTTGGAAGTCATAAAAATCTGAAACATCTATTCTGTACATTTTTTTATAAAAATAAAAAAAAATATTTTTTTATTCTTGAGCTTGTTGTTCCATTTGTTCCAGCATTTGTTGTTCTTGAGCTATTTGTTGTTGAAGTTGTTCTTGTAATACAATACTTTCACCAGTTGCATCTTCCAATTCGAAACTTTCTGCCGTCATTGACAAATACATAGGACATAAAAGTTTTACAGGAACAAAGTTTGCGTCAACTAAGGTTAAGTTTATGTTTGCTAAAGTGTTTGAGTTTACTAAAGCTGAAAACTCTGCATTCGAATGAACAATAGGCAAACCAGCAGAGAAAGTATTGTTTATACGCATAAGTATCTTTTGGTCATAATAGTTTCTGTCGACATTCGAATAACACTTTGAACCTAAGTTTGAAACAATATATAAGATTGGTGTGCTTAAAGTCAATGGAACAGACATTCCTTGTATGACACCTTTTCCTGTTATAGGAAACTGTTGGTAGTAAAAACCAGATATAAGTTTTGTATTATAACTCATATCGTTTATAGTAAACTCAGTCGGACATCCAAACATAATGAAACCTGCTCTAGTTGCAGCACATGTTACACCCGTCCTTAAAGTATTAAATAAGTCAACAAAACCTGTTGGTGGTATATCTGAGTAAGTATCTTCAAAGGAGTATTTTTTACCATTCACAACAATAAAGTCTTCTGGTGTCAAAAGAGCAAAACAGGCTTTAGTCGTCATTGTGTTTAAGGTTAGTTTACAATATCGTCCTTGAGGACTTTGTAAGTTTGTTGTTATAGAATTATATGACTCAGGGTTTTTAGTCGTAATAGTATAAACCATTATGTCTTCTGCCATTTACTTAGCAAATAAATTTTAATGAAATGTTGTGGTCGTCAAATATTTTTATAACGTCTGGGAAACTATATTTTAAGTTCAACGTTTCACCTCCTTTCATAACGTATATCTTGTCAATGACATTATATGAAACACCACAGCAACTAATGTCGGGTTCTATTTCTTTGATGTTTATATCGTCTGCCTCTGTCAAAAGTTTCAATAGTTCTTTCAAAACTTCATGAGGTGCAATGACATATGAGTTCACTTTTACAGGGTTGTGTTCGACCAAGTTTAACATTATACTTAAAGCTTGACAAATCTTCTCCTGAGTTTTAAGTTTGTCTTTCAGTTGTTGGTAGTCGTTTCGAATATCTGCAACAGAACTTAAGTCTCTGCTAACTTCAGGATATGTTGGTTGTTCTTTTACAGGAACTATTGTTATACCATCTTCGTCTTCGTATGGTTTCCCCACTTCAACATCTCTGTCTTTGACATTGACAACAACACTTTGACTGTTTGTTTGAGTTGGTGAATTTAACTTCACATCTGCCACCGCCATTAAACCTTTTGAAACACTTACACTTCTATTTTTCGGAAATGACATTTTACTTAGAATAAAAAGATGGACGTATTCAGATATCTCTTCGAATTGAAGCAAAACAAAGTTTACACACACAAACAATACAAATACATTGACAGAATAGTTCTTTACACAAACAATGGAAAATGTTATAGAATAGCAGTCTTTGCTGAACCTAAATATTTTCATAAAGCAAAGAAAGTTGGTATAACTGAAATGGTGAAAGTTCTTGAAGCAGACAAAAATATAACTTCAAAACTTACAGATATTTCTAAAGGAAAGTTTATAATACAATATTATGTCAAAACTGGCGTACTGTCAATATTTGACGGAGAGAAGTCAGTTCAAGAACAACTTACTGACCTGCTGCCAAAATCTGCTCGATGGAAGCTGTCGTTATGCCAATCTGAGGAGCCCCAGCAGGTTTCATCGAACGAATTTTCAAAAGAGCATCTTCCGTGAAAAGTGCTATTGGTTTTGTAAACTTCTTTGCTTTCAATTCATCTGGACCGTCTCTGTCACCAGTATATTGTATTTGAACTGTACCAACAGTTGAAATACCACCCATAAAGTCTTCTGAGTCAGCAAATGGAATGCCAAGCCAAAAGTTTGAACGGTCTCCATTTGTATATTGAGTTTTTTGACCTCCTGTATGGGTCCATACTTTCACATATGGCATAATAGAACTTTGCATTTCAGGGTTAATGGTTGTTGTGAAGTTGTTGTTAAAGTTCATAGCATCTAATGTCAAGTTGTATGACCTCATATCCTCAACTGTAGAATATTCTTCTCTTGGATAATATTTGCCATCTATGTTTATATGATATTTAATACCAGGGTTGTAGAAACAAGAATAGTCATTTATAGTTCGTCTGAAAAGAACAAACATAGTATCTGCATGTTTCATTGCAGTTGTTAAGGCAATATCTGTTCTTGCACCTGGGTCAGCACTTTGGTTTCCAACTTCACCTGCAAAGTCTTTGACAGATATTTGGTGTATAGGGAACATAAGTGGAACTGCAATATATTTGGCAGCTAAAGCATTTGAAATATCTGGGTCCAACATATAGACTGCAAGTCTGCTTTCTATTCTCTTGCATTCAAATTTTTCGCATGTGAACTTAACTGGGTCCCAAGCATCTCCAGCAGCATTGAAATAATAGTTTACTTCAGTGTTGAGGTTTGAGAAACCAAAGTCTAAGTCAACTTTGTCTTTGCAAAATTCGGCGAATGACGTTTTATTTGTTCCCTTTACGTCTGTAAGAGTGAATGGGTCTTGTGTTGGTGCAATGACTAAGTTATTTTTGCTTGGAGTAAGTTCGATAGAAATTTTTCCTGCCCAGTTTGGCAAGTATCTTAAAAACCTGAAGATGAGGAAAGATGACAAAGGAACTCTAAGTTTCAGTTTTACTTTAGTGGCAGCAGTTCCATCTGAACCAGAAAGGTTAACATAAACTCCTGGAACGTTAGGGTCAAGTCTTCTTATTTTCTCAATAGTTGCATACTGGTCTGTTTGTTCTCTAGCTTGTGGTTGTACTGAGTTTCTTAAAGCGAACCATTCATAGTTTGCCCATGTTACTGTTTGAACTAAGTCAGAGTTAGAATATATCTTATATCCCATGAAAACTTCTGGAGCATATTGGTATCCGACATAGAAAATTCCATTGCAACCTTTCTTTTCAGACAACTTGGCAGAAGGTTTTATTTCAATGTCTTGTTCCACGTATAAGAAAGAGTTGTCAATAGAAATAATATGAAACCTGTCGCAAGCAATATCTACTGTTGTTGAAGAACCTTCTCCAAACTCACCTACGTTTCCATAAGAAACAGCAGTTGTATATTCGTAAGTTCCAGGAACTATTTCTGACCTTCTAATGGCATTGTCGCATTCGTTATACCATTCGGAAACATTTCCATTCATGGCATCCAAAACTGTTGGCGTTATATTCTGAGCGGCGTACATTTCATATGGGTAAAAATATAGAATAGTTGGATTTATATGTCATAATAGAACCCACTCGGACCAAGCTTTACTTTCTTCCTGACTGAGTTTTTAACTCTTCTTTTTCCTTCATTGCCACTACTTTCACTAGATGAAGTTACTTCTTCACTACTTTCACTTTGTTCTACTCTTCTCTTCTTCTTTGGTGTCGCTTTTGGTAACTTGCCCTCTGCTTCAAGTTGTTGCATCTTTGCCTCATGTTCACCTAGTATGTTGTAAATTTCCCATGTCCTTTTTGCCTTTGGGCTCTGGTCGCCCATCTCAGGTAACCTATATCCTAGAAAGATTTTGTCATAGTTTGTATTTGAGTCTTCGCGTATTGTTTGCATGACTCTTTCCTGAGTTTCCGGTTCAAGCTCTTCAAACAGAGCTTGTCCATATGGAATAAGCTCGTTTCCAAATATATGTTTTTGTAGCCATTCTGGTTTTCTTTCCATGTTACCAATAATATCTTTTGTGAATGGGAAAGCTTTTACCCAATGTTTCAGTCTTTCGTCATTTATTTCTGTAGTTGGTTTTATTTTGTCAAGGAACATGTTTTTCAATACTAACATTTCATTTGGTACTGTCCATTTGAGTTTTCTTAAATATTCATCCCTTCTCGGTTCATTGTCTGCAAAGTAAGTTTTTATGACATTTTGTAAACTTTCGTTTGCAAGGTCATGTACAATAGGTTCTCTTCCTTCTCTCTCCCTAACTGTCTTTCTAAACTCTTCACCAAATATACCATCTCTATGGTTCTGTGTAGTTCTTTGAGATAAATGTTTTAGAACGTCAGGTGTTATATTTCCATCAGCCATGTTCATTTCATACTGGTTCAAAATATCTGCATCTTTCATATCTTTCAATGGCATTAAAGCCGCGCTGAAAATACCAGCTATATCTGGTTCACCATTCACTTCCATTGCGTCTACAACTTCTTGGAATTGTGGTTGTAAGTTTATGAACCACCTATCCGGATTAGCTTTATGACCCCATCTCATTGTAGTTCCATAGTCTGCAGAAACAAAAGTAGGTTTGTTTCCATATTGGTTAGGTTCTGAATGAACTTTAAACAATGTTTCATTTCTATATGTTTTGTTGAAATTTAACCTTTTATTTTCACCGAGTTCAGCCAAAGATTGAACGTTATATGGTCGTAAGTAAAAAGGATTGTTGTATTTGCGTACATTATCTTTCAGTACTTCCATTCTATGCTGAATATTTTCATCTGATGTTGGAGTCTTTTGTATGTCGGCAAACATTTTTCGATATTCTTCTACTATGTCAGCCGAATTTTTTTTAGACTCTTGGAAAGATTCCATATTCACCTCATACTCTTGTTGAGGGTCAAGATTTTTCGGCTGTTCCAAATCTTCATCTAGTTCTGTGAGGTTAGTTTCCAAAGGAGGGACTTGTTCGTTTCCTTCAGGCTCTTCTAGCTGTTGTTGCTGAACTATTTCTTCCATGTCTGGTTGTATCTGAACTTCTTCCTGTTGAGTTTCTTGTACCTCATCTGCTGGCATTTCATATATTCCGAGACCGTTTTTAAAAAGTTCCCTATCTAAGTCATCCGGACTCATAAACCTTTCTTCTTTCGTTCCGTCTCTATTTTTTACGCGTTTCATGAAGAGAGTTGAATTGTCATTTAGCTCTGACACCAAATATCTCGGAGTAAATTCGTTCATGTCATTTGGATGATATGCTATTAAATCATATCCCTTAGCGAGCTTGTATTTTCCAGGTTTGAAATTATATCCCATTTGGTGCTGAACCATAAAGCTAAATAGGTTCGGGTCTGTATTTCCTTCCTTGAACTTTCTAATAGCTTCTTTATATCTGTCACTAAAGTCAAGAGTATCTGGGTAACCATATTCTTCCTTAAGCATTTTTAAGAAATCTTGGTTTCCTTGTTCTCTACTTCTTTTATGTCCTTGCTCTGTTTGTGGTTGTTGTGCTGGTTGTGGAGGTGGTTGTTGTGCAGGGTTTTGAACTGTTGGTTGCTGTGCTGGTTGTGGAGGTGGTTGTTGTGCAGGGTTTTGAACTGTTGGTTGCTGTGCTGGTTGTGGAGGTGGTTGTTGTGCTGGTTGTTGTTGTTGTTGTGGTGCTGGATTTTGAACTGTTGGTTGTTGTGTTGGTTTTGGTGCATGCCTGTGTCTGTGTCCATGTGACGATGTAAATGTTTTAGGTAGTCCTGGTGCAGGTGCTTCTCTTGGAGGGTTTGGTGGTATATAAGTTCCACTAGCTAGTATATAAGTTCCACCAGCTGGTATATAAGTTCCACCAGCTGGCACATATGTTCCATCTGCAGCATAATGTCCTACCTGACTTTTCGTTCTTAAGAAAGCATTTACTAGGTCTCTTTTGGTCTGTTGTAACTCTTTTTCTTGACTTTCCACAACAGCTGTTCTAACGGCGTCATGGGCACTTTGAACTGCCTGTCTCGTTGCTGCATCTGTTATTTTCGTCATATTTTGTGCTACTTCTTTTAACTCTTTGTCGAAACCTTCAGACTTCAGTTTCTTTCCAGATGAGAAGTCGTTCACTAGTTTCACCTTACTATGAAGAGCTTCGAAGGCGTTCTTAAAGTCAGCATTCGTTAAAGCTTCATTTGAACTGTCTTCATCCGCTTGTATTTTTGTCCTTATTGACCCTATAAGTTGGGCTGCTTTAGCGTTGGCTTGGGCGTCTAACCAGTCATTATTAGCTTTTATATATTCTGCGCTTTTCATTGCCTTTTGCATGGCTGCGTCGTTATTTTTACTTTCTTGTGCTAAGTTTTCATACTGTACGGTTTGGTTTTGCAACTGTAAAAGTTTTTCTGCCTTTACATTTGCTTCAACTTCTTTTTTATACTCATCGCTATCCATATATGTCTTCAGGGCTTTTTGTTTTATTTCTTCATCTTTCAGTACTTTATATTGAGTAGTATGGTTTTTCAAATTTATAACATCTTGTTCCATTTTTGCTACTTCTGCTGCTTTTTCTGACACTTTTTTCGCATATTCCTCTGTACTTAGTTCTTTCAGTTGTTCTTCTTTCTTCTTTTTCTCTACGTTTAACTCATTGAGTTTCTTTGTGTGTCTGTCATATTCTAGTTTCTTTTCGTTTTCACTTATTTGTTTCTGTATGTCTATGTTTGACTTTTTGACATCTGTTATTTGATTTTTGAGTGAACTCAAATTCATTTGACTTTGAGGGTTATAAGCTGTTCCGTCTGCAGCTCCACCATAGCCTGCCATTTTCGCTAAAAGTGCCGCTCTTAAACCTCCACTCTGTGCACCAATAACTCGGTTTAAAAGCATAGGGTTGCTTGACATTTGTTGCAACATAGTGGGGTCATTCAGCATTTGTTGTTGCAACTGTTGTTGTGGTGTCAGTTTTACTATTGGATGTTTCAATGCTCCCTTCCTCTTACGTATATTCTTACGTAGCTTACGTGGCATTTTAAGTGAAGTTAAAAAGCGGTTTTATACTAAACATCTTCGGGGCTAGAGGGCGCAACGCGCCTGGAAGCCCCACTACCTTTTTTTTTTCAAGTAGATGTGATTTGATTCTGTACAACTAAATATTAATATATTTAAAACATTGTAGAATTAAAATTTTTGACGATATCAATTTATAAAAAAAATGCAAGCGAATCCTTTTAATAAAGCTAAGATACGATTTGCTTCACTTTGTCCACCTAGTAAAGTGTTCAACACAGGGAGCATGGACTGGGAAGCATGTGGGCTACTTGCATTAGCCGGTAAAGGCACAATTTATCTCTATAAAACTACTAAAAATGATATTTCTTTCTTATGATCCATTGAAATTCTAAATTCTAACATAACTTGCCTTAAATTCCACTATGAGCTACCTTATCTTGCAATTTCAGACGATTGCGGAAGAGTTTTGTTATGGGATTGTGAATCAGGTCTTACACTCGGAATCACTCGTCAAGTATCTGAAGCTCAGTATGTATCGGAGCTTCAATGGTCCCGTAAAATCGTTTTAGGCTTTGCAGAACCAAATACAATTTATAGTATCGATTTTTGGCCGTATGAAGCTGAAGATCAAGCGAAAAACTCACGAATACTTTGGAAGATAGATGTTCCTGGTACATATACAAGGATGGCTGTTAATAGTTCAGATATATTCACTGCAATTCTATATTCTAATGGTCCATCCTTTACAATTATCACGTCAAAGAATGCCAAGCAGGCTCCAACATCTCAATCTCAATCCCATACTTTAGATAAATCAGAAAAAATCGTAGAAATTCAACATCATCCCCATATTAGTAATATTTTATTAATTATGCTTGAAGGAAAAATACTTACGTTTAACATAGCGACCAAATCTGGCCGAAATCTTGTAATCGATGAATCATCCCAATCATCTTTCCATAAACTGCTTCCTTCTTTAACAAATGACAACGAAATTACAGTTTATGGTCAAGACTCGTCACTCAGTATCTATATCTGTAACGAAGACTACATTTTTACAAAATCAGGAACAATAAAATTGAAAAGAGAGCTGTTTGACTTAAAATCGAAGTATTTACCACTATCCGCTGCATGTAACCGTGCACTTCCCGAGCGATACATCGCGTTCTCTCCATCAAATGGCTTAGTTATGTTTGCCATAAAAGATGATATACCTTACGTCATCGCGCAGTCTCAAATTATACCACAGATACCAACCTGTTACGATTTCTACGACGGAATCCTTGCTTTCGGCACTCCAACCGGAAAGATAATTTTCGCAGACGTTTCAGAAGGGAAATACACACAGAACTACCTTGCATCCAGCACATCCATTGAAAAGATCAAGTTCCTTACCAAAGATGTCCTTCTGTGGTACTCAAAAACCGAGTGTGGATCAATAAATCTTCCCAAGCGCCAAGTTATTCCAATCCACACTCGCCTTGGCCCTGCCACAGACCTAATATGTTCAGAGGAGCTCGGCGTTTTCGTCCACGGCAAATACGACCTTGGTATTTTTTATGATGTCAAACAAAAGCCGATGACTCTTCAAACATCCATCACCGCTGTTGCAGTCCAAGTATCCAGAATACCAGCAACATGTTTCCAAGGCGATACTCCCAATTTCGCCGTATTATTATCTACCGGAGAAATCCAAGTCTACACATACAAGAACGGCATAGCACAGATGCCTGTTCTGAGGCTGCGTAACTCACGGGAGAACTCCAGGACAACTTGTCTTGCTTGGAAAGGCGATTGCATCATAACTGCTGACACAGACGGCGTAATTATGTTTTACGACTTTGCTTTCGGTACATCGAAGCAAACATACTCTCCTTTCATCGACATAGACAGGATAGAGTTCGAGAGATCATCCAGCGGATTGTACGTACACGCGAGAGACGGAAAATTTGGTTTTTCACTTGAAAAAGTGGAAAGTTGTCCTTTTTCTGTTTCCTCATTCGCTGTAACAGGAAATGGACTCGTCCTCGTCTCCCCGCTCAATGACGAAGCCGTGAAATTCGTTATTGCAAGAGACTGGAGATCTGTAAAAAGAATCACTTCACCTGCCCTCTTAAAACCGCTAAAAACCGCCCAGCAACGGTTAGAGCTTATGGGTGAGCAATTATTAACGAATCCTACTACAGGAACATGGTCAGAAGCACTTCAAATAGCTGAGATAGCTAATGACCATGGATTTCCAACTGATTCCATTATTTGGAAGTGTGTTTCACGTAGTTTGGGAGGTCCGAGGTTGCAAGCACGGCATTCCATGTTTGGAGGGAAAGAAGAAGTTGTTTCCGCGTTGAGGATTCAATCTTCTCTGTTTTCTCCTGCAGATACTCCGATTTCTGCCATTTTCAACTTGTTGTTCAAGTTCAGAATGGGTGATAGAAGAGGAGCTGTCGAAGTTTTCAAGAGTCTCTCCAACAAAAGCGAGTTCACAATAGTGGCAAGCATTTGTTCGGCGTTGCTTCTCGGTTACGAAGATAAAATTTTGCCACAAAACGTGACAGAATTTTTGATAACAACCGCTGTTCCACTTTTTGCACAGCACAGATTTATAGAAGGCTGTATATTGATGCATTTAGCTGGCGCTAATCTTTCTGCCGCAAGATATCTTCAGGACAACGGAAGATGGGAAGATTCTGTCGAAGTCTGCAAATTGGAAGAGTTTTCGAATGAGTCGAAGAGTTTGTTGAGAAGAGCCGCCCACCACTTCTTGGATACTGGAAATGCAATGAACGCTTTGTTGCTGTTCATATCAATAAGAGATTTCCATCCTGCTTTGGCAATTTTGATGCAGATAAAATACAAAGCTCTCGCGTTTCATTTGATGATGTTCTTGGATAGGGCTGATGTAATTAAGCCGTACGACGAAGACACTTCGAGATACGCAACACAGTTTGCGGATTTGGATACTTTGAGACAGGATATAATTGTCAAATATGACAAAATAATTAAGAAATAATTTTATTTGTATATTTATTTTCTTTATTTATAAAAAAAAGTCGAAAAAAAATGAAATTGTTTATATCGCATTTTCAATGATCTTTCAAGCCAGTTGTCAGATAGAAAAAAATTACGCATTTAACAAAGTTAAAGGGGAAAAGCATCCTGAAATTACGAAACATTTTAAAAAAAAATAAAAAAAAAATAAAGTGGGAAAGTCTGGAAATGATATGCTATGTATTGTAATTTTCAAAACTCAGCTTTCTAATGGAGCTATCACTTGTTACGTAAACTATATATATCGAATCAAAAGTTTGCCATGTTGTAATTTGATTTACAAGACATGATTTAATTAAAAAATAAAGGGTTTAAAATATAAAATAAAATATTTATCAAAGAAAAAAAGTTAAACTAAAAAATATATCAAAATAAATATTATATTAATATAAAGAGGTAGCAGTTTGACCAGCTGGATCTGTGATAGAAACTGTAATTTTAACCGTTGAGTCTTCAGAAATCTTTGAAGGAGCTGCAATTTGGAAAATTGTTTTCACTTTAGGAGAATATAATTTTCTCTTAAAATATACAAAAATAGTAATATCAATACATGTGTATAATATATAGGGTGTCCAAAGGTGCGTTTAGCACAGCGCTCTATATGAGACTATTAAAGGAGATATATGCTGATTATAAATATATAATAAAAAATATGAATATATGTATATGATGAGTATGTTGTATTTTGGCGCCATGCCGGGATATAAAATGAATTTTGAGACAAGAGGCGGTTTCGCGGGAAATTTTGGCGGGATTTTTTTCATTTTTTTAATGAATCATAAAGAAAACATCCTCGCTCTTGCAAAAAATGCAAAGACTGTAAAAAAATCTACGAGACATTGGTAAAATGCTTCGGTATGGATGCTCCTAGCTATTCCACTGTAACGTATCATGTTAGGATGTATCACTTCATGAACAAAAAGGCGCCCATCATAAAAATTGACAAAAAATCGCCGGATCAAAGAAAAATCAAAGCAATTCTTCAAGCGCTAGATGAAGACCCAAGAGCATCACTTAGAAGGATAGAGGAGATGACAAAGATACCACGTACAACAGTCAGTTATTATCTGCACAATTATTTGAACTACAAACTAGCGTATACACGTTGGGTTCCGCACAACCTTAATTCAGTTCAAAAAAAATCTAGAGTCCAATCTTCGAAAGAGCTCCTCTCTATATTGGGTGCGTATCAATCCAAGAAGTTTCGCTTTTTAGTAACAGGGGACGAGTCTTGGTTTCAATATGCAACAGAAGCCAAAATCATATGGATCCCGAAGGATGAAAATGTTGTAAACGAAAACGATAAAAACGGTTTGACAGTAAAGTGACACTTTACATGGCAAAAAATAGAGCCTTACTTTTGAGATACTTGAGATTGAAACTGAATCTTATGAGGCGGTGATCTTGAATCACTACCTCATAAGGTTCAGTTTCATATAAAATTTGTTGCAATTTGTTATTCTTTTGCAATCATTTCTTATAAGATTTTACATCTTTTAGCGGAGAATGTTTGTTATCATGTATATATTATAAATATCTACACGATAACGAACATTCCTCGCTAAATTGCTGAGAAACTTTGAGGAAATGTCGAACAATTTCCTCAAAGTTTCTCAGATTTATATAGATCACTAGAGTCCCCTAGGCACTGATTCTGGTTCAGTACCTAGGAGGCTCTAGTTCTTTAACGAACTGATAAAATGTTTTTAAATTTTTGGATATTGCTACCTGTGAAGCACTGACTTCAAGTCAGTACCTCACAGGTAGCAATTACATTGAAAGATGGGAGAAACTTTGTCCGAATGTTAAACTATTCGGACAAAGTTTCTCCCATTTGTAGTGGAGATGGAAGGCTTTGAGGTATATTGTATTAATATATACCCCAAAGCCTTCCATCTCCACTTGAAAGTGTCCAAACTTTGGGTTAATAGTTTGCAATTAACCCAAAGTTTGGACACTTTCTAGAAGGAATTGGAGGGTAAGAGATATACATTCATATGGTATATCTCTTACCCTCCAATTCCTTCTTAAAATGGGAGAAACTTTGTCCGAATGTTAAACTATTCGGACAAAGTTTCTCCCATTTTAAGAAGGAATTGGAGGCTATGAGATACTGATGAAATGTCAGTAACTCATGGCTTCCAATTCCTTCCTAAAACTCATAAAAGTGGACATTACATGCATATAAAATTTGACATGTAAAGTCCACTTTTTGCGAGCGGGGATTTGACTCCGTCAAATCCCCTTTTTCGTTTACGAGAAAAATCCGCAAACATTCCCGAAGAAAAAAATTGACACACCAATGATGATGTTGTCGGTTTTTTGGGGCGTAAATGACATCATCGCAATTGATATTCTTCAAAAACCTAATACGATGAATGCTCAGTATCTAATTGACAATGTTCTTACTCAAATTATCAATTCTGATGAGTTTGAGAAATCCAAACAACAAAAACAAAAGTTTGCAATTCATTTTGATAATTCAAGAGTTCACAAAAGTCATAAGGTAATGAATTACTTGGTGGAAAACAATGTCAAAGTTGTTCCAAACCCAATTTATTCACCTGATATTGCACCCTCTGACTTTTATTTATTCGGCACGCTAAAAAAGAGAGCTGAAGGACGCGAATTCGCGAGTCCAGATGATCTTGAAAATTTTGTAAGAGAGCAATTTGAGCAATTTTCTCATGATGATTTAAAGCGTGTCTTTCAAGCCTGGATCGATCGCTGCGAACGCGTGATTGAATCCAATGGTGATTATATTTAAATAAACTTTATATATATGTAACTTGTTTATTTCTATTCGCAGTATTCAGGTTTGTGCTAAACACACCTTTGGACACCCTATACTTTAAAACCATCGTGACAAAATTCAAAAACGAAGAGTTCTTCTCTCCAAATTTTTTTCAAAATCAAAAAAATGAGATAAAAAAGTACGTTTGGAAAATTCATTTTTAGCATTTTAGGAATTTTCTCACTTTTCTTCCAAATTGACATCCTTAATTAAATTAAATTACACATTAACACCGGAGCCGGAATCATCTTGGATATCAGATGATGATTTATCTTTAGATGGTTTCCTGCAGAAAACGAAGTAGATGATGAGAATAATAAGGATAACAGCAAGAAGAACGCCAATAACAATACCAGCCTTCTGTCCACCAGTAAGTCCACTATTTTCAGGTGTTGGAGTTGGCTTGGAATCATCAGGGCTTGGTGCAACGTATTGTTGTTTCTGAAGTGAAACCTCTGTTTCAATGATATTGGATTGAGCTTGATCTTTGGATCCAGCTAACCTAATTTGAAGTTTAACTTTCCCATCTTCTTTGATATCTTCATACTTTGGAGCTGGAATGTTGAGTAGATATGTTTTGCCTTCGTCGGCATGTAATTTCTTAATTGCAGATGGGGTTTCTACTTCAGTTACATTGTCGTCTGGGAGATCTATCCATTTCTGATCTGCATAGAATCTATATTGGAAGTTTCCTGTCTTTGCCTCAAAGTGTTGTAATGTAACTTTAACTGGAATATATTCACCGGCCTTGAATGGTCCTGTATGATTTTCAGCAACAACAGTTGGCGCAGATAAATATGGAGACTTTCCAAGAGAATATGTAACATTGCCGGTACCTAACTCGGATGTATGATTGGCGGCGAACTCAACAACAACAAGTAACTTTGTCTTATTATGATCCTCTGGAGCGTTAACTTTGAAAGTCCATTCTGTCTTGTTCGTGCTTGCTACGGCTGTTGCAGTGCTAACATTTTGTGATGTTTTGACGCTAGTGACAGAGGCGCTGGAAGCTTGCTTTCTGTTGCAAAGAGATAATATGTCTTTGTAATTTTAAGCTTTTGAGTATGATTTTGGCTGAGTATAAATTGCCTGAAATTACTTCGTTGCCATCGTTGTAAAGAACTCTATCGATAACTGGTGTGGAGAGTGTGTCAGAATATGTAACATTGCCGGTACCTAACTCGGATGTATGATTGGCGGCGAACTCAACAACAACAAGTAACTTTGTCTTATTATGATCCTCTGGAGCGTTAACTTTGAAAGTCCATTCTGTCTTGTTCGTGCTTGCTACGGCTGTTGCAGTGCTAACATTTTGTGATGTTTTGACGCTAGTGACAGAGGCGCTGGAAGCTTGCTTTCTGTTGCAAAGAGATAATATGTCTTTGTAATATTTAAGCCTGTTTGAGTATGATTTTGGCTGTGTATATTGCCTGAAATTACTTCGTTGCCATCGTTGTAAAGAACTCTATCGATAACTGGTGTGGAGAGTGTGTCAGAATATGTAACATTGCCGGTACCTAAGTCGGATTATGATTGGCGGCGAACTCAACAACAACAAGTAACTTTGTCTTATTATGATCCTCTGGAGCGTTAACTTTGAAAGTCCATTCTGTCTTGTTCGCTTGCTACGGCTGTTGCAGTTAAACATTTTGTGATGTTTTGACGCTAGTGACAGAGGCGTGGAAGCTTGCTTTCTGTTGCAAAGAGATAATATGTCTTTGTAATATTTAAGCTGTTTCGAGTATGATTTTGGCTGTGTATATTGCCTGAAATTACTTCGTTGCCATCGTTGTAAAGAACACTCTCGATAACTGGTGTGGGGACTGTGGAAGAATATGTAACATTACCGGTACCTAAGTTGGATTTATGATTGGCGGCGAACTCAACAACAACAAGTAACTTTGTCTTATTATGATCCTCTGGAGCGTTAACTTTGAAAGTCCATTCTACTTGTTCGTATTTATATCCAGTGAAGATAGAATAGAAGTTTGGAGATGGTGTATAGAACTTTATACCTCGAACTGAAAAATCTTCTAACTTTGACAATAAGATATCCCAAGCATCTAACATCTTCCTTCCAACTTGTACAACTTTTATTTTCTTAAGTTTCTGTCTACATTCTTGTTCAGACACTATTGTTGCTCTTGGTTTGTTAAAGACAACATCCCATTCTTTCATGACATAACATTCTGGGGCAGAGTCAACATAAATGACTAAACGTTTCAAATTCTCGACTGCTTTGTTATAGTCTCGAAATGGACACATATTTCTGAATGCTTGGAAGTCATAAAAATCTGAAACATCTATTCTGTACATTTTTTTATAAAAATAAAAAAAAATATTTTTTTATTCTTGAGCTTGTTGTTCCATTTGTTCCATTTGTTGCATTTGTTGTTCTTGAGCTATTTGTTGTTGAAGTTGTTCTTGTAATACAATACTTTCACCAGTTGCATCTTCCAATTCGAAACTTTCTGCCGTCATTGACAAATACATAGGACATAAAAGTTTTACAGGAACAAAGTTTGCGTCAACTAAGGTTAAGTTTATGTTTGCTAAAGTGTTTGAGTTTACTAAAGCTGAAAACTCTGCATTCGAATGAACAATAGGCAAACCAGCAGAGAAAGTATTGTTTATACGCATAAGTATCTTTTGGTCATAATAGTTTCTGTCGACATTCGAATAACACTTTGAACCTAAGTTTGAAACAATATATAAGATTGGTGTGCTTAAAGTCAATGGAACAGACATTCCTTGTATGACACCTTTTCCTGTTATAGGAAACTGTTGGTAGTAAAAACCAGATATAAGTTTTGTATTATAACTCATATCGTTTATAGTAAACTCAGTCGGACATCCAAACATAATGAAACCTGCTCTAGTTGCAGCACATGTTACACCCGTCCTTAAAGTATTAAATAAGTCAACAAAACCTGTTGGTGGTATATCTGAGTAAGTATCTTCAAAGGAGTATTTTTTACCATTCACAACAATAAAGTCTTCTGGTGTCAAAAGAGCAAAACAGGCTTTAGTCGTCATTGTGTTTAAGGTTAGTTTACAATATCGTCCTTGAGGACTTTGTAAGTTTGTTGTTATAGAATTATATGACTCAGGGTTTTTAGTCGTAATAGTATAAACCATTATGTCTTCTGCCATTTACTTAGCAAATAAATTTTAATGAAATGTTGTGGTCGTCAAATATTTTTATAACGTCTGGGAAACTATATTTTAAGTTCAACGTTTCACCTCCTTTCATAACGTATATCTTGTCAATGACATTATATGAAACACCACAGCAACTAATGTCGGGTTCTATTTCTTTGATGTTTATATCGTCTGCCTCTGTCAAAAGTTTCAATAGTTCTTTCAAAACTTCATGAGGTGCAATGACATATGAGTTCACTTTTACAGGGTTGTGTTCGACCAAGTTTAACATTATACTTAAAGCTTGACAAATCTTCTCCTGAGTTTTAAGTTTGTCTTTCAGTTGTTGGTAGTCGTTTCGAATATCTGCAACAGAACTTAAGTCTCTGCTAACTTCAGGATATGTTGGTTGTTCTTTTACAGGAACTATTGTTATACCATCTTCGTCTTCGTATGGTTTCCCCACTTCAACATCTCTGTCTTTGACATTGACAACAACACTTTGACTGTTTGTTTGAGTTGGTGAATTTAACTTCACATCTGCCACCGCCATTAAACCTTTTGAAACACTTACACTTCTATTTTTCGGAAATGACATTTTACTTAGAATAAAAAGATGGACGTATTCAGATATCTCTTCGAATTGAAGCAAAACAAAGTTTACACACACAAACAATACAAATACATTGACAGAATAGTTCTTTACACAAACAATGGAAAATGTTATAGAATAGCAGTCTTTGCTGAACCTAAATATTTTCATAAAGCAAAGAAAGTTGGTATAACTGAAATGGTGAAAGTTCTTGAAGCAGACAAAAATATAACTTCAAAACTTACAGATATTTCTAAAGGAAAGTTTATAATACAATATTATGTCAAAACTGGCGTACTGTCAATATTTGACGGAGAGAAGTCAGTTCAAGAACAACTTACTGACCTGCTGCCAAAATCTGCTCGATGGAAGCTGTCGTTATGCCAATCTGAGGAGCCCCAGCAGGTTTCATCGAACGAATTTTCAAAAGAGCATCTTCCGTGAAAAGTGCTATTGGTTTTGTAAACTTCTTTGCTTTCAATTCATCTGGACCGTCTCTGTCACCAGTATATTGTATTTGAACTGTACCAACAGTTGAAATACCACCCATAAAGTCTTCTGAGTCAGCAAATGGAATGCCAAGCCAAAAGTTTGAACGGTCTCCATTTGTATATTGAGTTTTTTGACCTCCTGTATGGGTCCATACTTTCACATATGGCATAATAGAACTTTGCATTTCAGGGTTAATGGTTGTTGTGAAGTTGTTGTTAAAGTTCATAGCATCTAATGTCAAGTTGTATGACCTCATATCCTCAACTGTAGAATATTCTTCTCTTGGATAATATTTGCCATCTATGTTTATATGATATTTAATACCAGGGTTGTAGAAACAAGAATAGTCATTTATAGTTCGTCTGAAAAGAACAAACATAGTATCTGCATGTTTCATTGCAGTTGTTAAGGCAATATCTGTTCTTGCACCTGGGTCAGCACTTTGGTTTCCAACTTCACCTGCAAAGTCTTTGACAGATATTTGGTGTATAGGGAACATAAGTGGAACTGCAATATATTTGGCAGCTAAAGCATTTGAAATATCTGGGTCCAACATATAGACTGCAAGTCTGCTTTCTATTCTCTTGCATTCAAATTTTTCGCATGTGAACTTAACTGGGTCCCAAGCATCTCCAGCAGCATTGAAATAATAGTTTACTTCAGTGTTGAGGTTTGAGAAACCAAAGTCTAAGTCAACTTTGTCTTTGCAAAATTCGGCGAATGACGTTTTATTTGTTCCCTTTACGTCTGTAAGAGTGAATGGGTCTTGTGTTGGTGCAATGACTAAGTTATTTTTGCTTGGAGTAAGTTCGATAGAAATTTTTCCTGCCCAGTTTGGCAAGTATCTTAAAAACCTGAAGATGAGGAAAGATGACAAAGGAACTCTAAGTTTCAGTTTTACTTTAGTGGCAGCAGTTCCATCTGAACCAGAAAGGTTAACATAAACTCCTGGAACGTTAGGGTCAAGTCTTCTTATTTTCTCAATAGTTGCATACTGGTCTGTTTGTTCTCTAGCTTGTGGTTGTACTGAGTTTCTTAAAGCGAACCATTCATAGTTTGCCCATGTTACTGTTTGAACTAAGTCAGAGTTAGAATATATCTTATATCCCATGAAAACTTCTGGAGCATATTGGTATCCGACATAGAAAATTCCATTGCAACCTTTCTTTTCAGACAACTTGGCAGAAGGTTTTATTTCAATGTCTTGTTCCACGTATAAGAAAGAGTTGTCAATAGAAATAATATGAAACCTGTCGCAAGCAATATCTACTGTTGTTGAAGAACCTTCTCCAAACTCACCTACGTTTCCATAAGAAACAGCAGTTGTATATTCGTAAGTTCCAGGAACTATTTCTGACCTTCTAATGGCATTGTCGCATTCGTTATACCATTCGGAAACATTTCCATTCATGGCATCCAAAACTGTTGGCGTTATATTCTGAGCGGCGTACATTTCATATGGGTAAAAATATAGAATAGTTGGATTTATATGTCATAATAGAACCCACTCGGACCAAGCTTTACTTTCTTCCTGACTGAGTTTTTAACTCTTCTTTTTCCTTCATTGCCACTACTTTCACTAGATGAAGTTACTTCTTCACTACTTTCACTTTGTTCTACTCTTCTCTTCTTCTTTGGTGTCGCTTTTGGTAACTTGCCCTCTGCTTCAAGTTGTTGCATCTTTGCCTCATGTTCACCTAGTATGTTGTAAATTTCCCATGTCCTTTTTGCCTTTGGGCTCTGGTCGCCCATCTCAGGTAACCTATATCCTAGAAAGATTTTGTCATAGTTTGTATTTGAGTCTTCGCGTATTGTTTGCATGACTCTTTCCTGAGTTTCCGGTTCAAGCTCTTCAAACAGAGCTTGTCCATATGGAATAAGCTCGTTTCCAAATATATGTTTTTGTAGCCATTCTGGTTTTCTTTCCATGTTACCAATAATATCTTTTGTGAATGGGAAAGCTTTTACCCAATGTTTCAGTCTTTCGTCATTTATTTCTGTAGTTGGTTTTATTTTGTCAAGGAACATGTTTTTCAATACTAACATTTCATTTGGTACTGTCCATTTGAGTTTTCTTAAATATTCATCCCTTCTCGGTTCATTGTCTGCAAAGTAAGTTTTTATGACATTTTGTAAACTTTCGTTTGCAAGGTCATGTACAATAGGTTCTCTTCCTTCTCTCTCCCTAACTGTCTTTCTAAACTCTTCACCAAATATACCATCTCTATGGTTCTGTGTAGTTCTTTGAGATAAATGTTTTAGAACGTCAGGTGTTATATTTCCATCAGCCATGTTCATTTCATACTGGTTCAAAATATCTGCATCTTTCATATCTTTCAATGGCATTAAAGCCGCGCTGAAAATACCAGCTATATCTGGTTCACCATTCACTTCCATTGCGTCTACAACTTCTTGGAATTGTGGTTGTAAGTTTATGAACCACCTATCCGGATTAGCTTTATGACCCCATCTCATTGTAGTTCCATAGTCTGCAGAAACAAAAGTAGGTTTGTTTCCATATTGGTTAGGTTCTGAATGAACTTTAAACAATGTTTCATTTCTATATGTTTTGTTGAAATTTAACCTTTTATTTTCACCGAGTTCAGCCAAAGATTGAACGTTATATGGTCGTAAGTAAAAAGGATTGTTGTATTTGCGTACATTATCTTTCAGTACTTCCATTCTATGCTGAATATTTTCATCTGATGTTGGAGTCTTTTGTATGTCGGCAAACATTTTTCGATATTCTTCTACTATGTCAGCCGAATTTTTTTTAGACTCTTGGAAAGATTCCATATTCACCTCATACTCTTGTTGAGGGTCAAGATTTTTCGGCTGTTCCAAATCTTCATCTAGTTCTGTGAGGTTAGTTTCCAAAGGAGGGACTTGTTCGTTTCCTTCAGGCTCTTCTAGCTGTTGTTGCTGAACTATTTCTTCCATGTCTGGTTGTATCTGAACTTCTTCCTGTTGAGTTTCTTGTACCTCATCTGCTGGCATTTCATATATTCCGAGACCGTTTTTAAAAAGTTCCCTATCTAAGTCATCCGGACTCATAAACCTTTCTTCTTTCGTTCCGTCTCTATTTTTTACGCGTTTCATGAAGAGAGTTGAATTGTCATTTAGCTCTGACACCAAATATCTCGGAGTAAATTCGTTCATGTCATTTGGATGATATGCTATTAAATCATATCCCTTAGCGAGCTTGTATTTTCCAGGTTTGAAATTATATCCCATTTGGTGCTGAACCATAAAGCTAAATAGGTTCGGGTCTGTATTTCCTTCCTTGAACTTTCTAATAGCTTCTTTATATCTGTCACTAAAGTCAAGAGTATCTGGGTAACCATATTCTTCCTTAAGCATTTTTAAGAAATCTTGGTTTCCTTGTTCTCTACTTCTTTTATGTCCTTGCTCTGTTTGTGGTTGTTGTGCTGGTTGTGGAGGTGGTTGTTGTGCAGGGTTTTGAACTGTTGGTTGCTGTGCTGGTTGTGGAGGTGGTTGTTGTGCAGGGTTTTGAACTGTTGGTTGCTGTGCTGGTTGTGGAGGTGGTTGTTGTGCTGGTTGTTGTTGTTGTTGTGGTGCTGGATTTTGAACTGTTGGTTGTTGTGTTGGTTTTGGTGCATGCCTGTGTCTGTGTCCATGTGACGATGTAAATGTTTTAGGTAGTCCTGGTGCAGGTGCTTCTCTTGGAGGGTTTGGTGGTATATAAGTTCCACTAGCTAGTATATAAGTTCCACCAGCTGGTATATAAGTTCCACCAGCTGGCACATATGTTCCATCTGCAGCATAATGTCCTACCTGACTTTTCGTTCTTAAGAAAGCATTTACTAGGTCTCTTTTGGTCTGTTGTAACTCTTTTTCTTGACTTTCCACAACAGCTGTTCTAACGGCGTCATGGGCACTTTGAACTGCCTGTCTCGTTGCTGCATCTGTTATTTTCGTCATATTTTGTGCTACTTCTTTTAACTCTTTGTCGAAACCTTCAGACTTCAGTTTCTTTCCAGATGAGAAGTCGTTCACTAGTTTCACCTTACTATGAAGAGCTTCGAAGGCGTTCTTAAAGTCAGCATTCGTTAAAGCTTCATTTGAACTGTCTTCATCCGCTTGTATTTTTGTCCTTATTGACCCTATAAGTTGGGCTGCTTTAGCGTTGGCTTGGGCGTCTAACCAGTCATTATTAGCTTTTATATATTCTGCGCTTTTCATTGCCTTTTGCATGGCTGCGTCGTTATTTTTACTTTCTTGTGCTAAGTTTTCATACTGTACGGTTTGGTTTTGCAACTGTAAAAGTTTTTCTGCCTTTACATTTGCTTCAACTTCTTTTTTATACTCATCGCTATCCATATATGTCTTCAGGGCTTTTTGTTTTATTTCTTCATCTTTCAGTACTTTATATTGAGTAGTATGGTTTTTCAAATTTATAACATCTTGTTCCATTTTTGCTACTTCTGCTGCTTTTTCTGACACTTTTT